ATAGTCTGTGAGGCCCTCCCTGGTGGCGAGGTCATCTATTTAGACCATATCAAGAGGTCCTATTTCTAATGCACTTCCAATCACAGAAATTTATGCAAAATGTTGTCAATCATTTTTCAGTATCAGAAATTATAATATTTTTCTCCTTTGGTCTCTTAAGATGAACCTTTGCATTCTCATAAGGGTTCATAAATTTAAATTTTCTTTCATTACTTTTTTCCAAGTTCACTATCCACTGGCTTACAGACTATATAATTTCAGGAATGAACTTCACATTTTGACATGTGCACCTGTTTCACTCATCCATCATCAAGTAAACATTAATGGTATCTTTTCTTCTTTATATTATTTACTTTTAAAATCATCTTGGTTGATCTTGCCTATTTACTTTTCTAGAAAAACCCCAGGACATTGATGAAATTAAAAGTTTGTCTCTTTTTCTTAAGTAGATGAGTTGATCTAAGCAGAAAATTTGGAGACAATTAAATCATTTACCTAACCAGAATTATGTTAATTAGGGGTTCAGTGCTAAACAAATTACCTCCAGTACATGTAAATAGTTGTTTACAGATAAATTCTTCAACATTTGGGAGACTGGATAATTAGCAGACTAGTAAAAATTTAATACAAAATAAAAAAACAAGGAGAAATAAACAAGGAGAACTGCTATTGCTATAGATAGTAAAAAACTGTAATATAAAAGGAAATGATTAGCAAAATTTAAGAAACCATACTTTAAAATATGCATAAAGTTAAACCCTACTAATCAGAATGAAGCCGTAATACTTGCAAGCAATGTGCTTTTTGTATGTACGAGAGCAATGTGCACCTCATTAATTCTGTGGTGATCTTTTATTTTTACATTTTAGTAATTCTGAACTTAAACACACTTTTAGATCCTACAATGAGCACATTTAAGTTTATAGTCCACACTTCCTTCTTTCATTGTGATGCATAAAGTAATGAAGTAATTTGAAAACTGGTGGTATTTTAGATTTGATAAAATACAACAAATATAAACTCTAAGAGGTGTACAAGTGTTGTCTCCCTA